TTTTAATCAATTATTTATTTAGTGCCTCATCATGCTTAATTACATTACTTTGATGTTAGTTTTAAGTATGAGTAGCTAATTCCAGAGTAGCAATCCTGTCCGGCCGAGCCCATCAGAGGTCCTTCCTCGTGGAATTTTTTGATGAAATTGTTTGGACATGTTCTTCATCAAATCTAGTTTATTCATACCAAATTTTGGCTAAATATTCAATCGGGAAGACAGTCAAATAAATTCTTTTAAAAAAGTGCACTTTATATATACATAAACAGCACAGTTTTGGTAAAGAATTTATTTCACTGTCTTCCAGATTGAGTTTTTAACTGAAATTTGGTATAGATAAACTAAACTGGATGAGGAGCATGCCCAAAACATTTCATTGAAAAATTCCACAGGAAGGGTGCCAAATGGCCTCGGCCTAACAACGGTTCCCGTCAGGCCGGCTTGATATGATCTGTCCTCGCTAATTCCATATAGGAGTTGAATTGGGGCTAGAGTACATGAGTTTTTGAGGGTGTGAATTTGGTTTTTATTTTAAAATTCAGTTAATTTTCTGGAAAATTGTATAATATTAATCATAATTGTCTATATGAACTTGATCACCTCATATATGAATTTCTGGATTTAACTCAATTCTCGTCTATGAGAAATTAAGTTAAATTAGTTTGGGTCTTATACAAGCAATCTGATCATAGAAATAAGTTAAGATTGTGATAATATGATTTAATTCTTGTCTATAAGAATTGATTTCATTTTTTTGTCCAGAAATAATTGAAAATTAATTAACTTAATTCTAATCTCGAAAGAACACCCAGAACCCGAACCATCCAATTTGAAGCATGTTTTAATATCTTGAATCAATTTAATTTTTTTCTTCACTCTATTAATTTTTGCGCTTGTTGTTAGTTTTTTTTAAACCACCCCAAAAAAATTTATTTGGAGACGATACTCGTGGTCTGAAAATTCTCGTTATTTGAACTCGTTAGTTTCTACCATGATTTGTGTTAGCCTGTGATCACGGATCGTATTTAAAAATTCTTTTTTTCATTCCTTGAGAGACGATACTTATGGTCTGGTTATTATCTGGATTAGCCAACTACGTTTCACTAAAGAAAAACACCGACCAGAAGTCGACTTCCTTATTGACTCCAAAGCGTGAGGGACTAAGAAGCTGTTCCGTTCGTCTTAATCTTATTACTTATTCCTTAATCTTATTTTATTCAGATCAGATCAGATCAGATCAGAAAGATTCAGATCAGATCAGATCAGATCAGAAAGATTCAGATCAGATCAGATCAGATCAGAAACATTCAGATCAGATCAGAAAGATTCAGATCAGATCAGCAACATTCAGATCAGATCAGAAAGATTCAGACCAGATCAGACCAGATCAGAAACATTCAGATCAGATCAGAAACATTCAGATCAGATCAGATCAAAAAATTCAAACATGATTTATCACTTTTATTATTATATTAATTATGATTATTATATTATAGTTATTGTTAATAATATTAATATATTAATATAATAATATTATTAATAATAATATAATAATAATGTTAATAATATAAAATTATTATTATATAATAATATAATATAATATAATATAATATAATATAATATAATATAATATAATATAATATAATATAATATAATATAATATAATATAATATAATATAATATAATATAATATAATATAATATAATATAATATAATATAATATAATATAATATAATATAATATAATATAATATAATATAATATAATATAATATAATATAATATAATATAATATAATATAATATAATATAATATAATATAATATAATATAATATAATATAATATAATATAATATAATATAATATAATATAATATAATATAATATAATATAATATAATATAATATAATATAATATAATATAATATAATATAATATATTTATAATTATAATTATAATTATGATTTACAATGTAATTATAATTATAATCATCATTATTATTAATATGATTGTTGTTCTTGTTGTTATTTTTGTAATTATTATTACTTCGGAGTAATTATATATTTAAATTAGTAATTATAGATATAATTATGATTATAGAGATAAATATTATAATTATAATTACAAAAAAAAATAATTATAAAATTAATCATAATTAAAAATATAATTACATTTATAATTGTATCTGTATTTATAATTAGTGTAATTGGTATATTTATTATAATTTTAAATTTAATTTTAATTATTATTTTTTTATAATTATGATTATAATTGTAATTTTATTTAAGTTATATTTTTAATTACAATTATAAATGTAATAATTATAATTATAATTACAATTATAGAAATATTCAAATCAGATCAGAAAGATTCAGATCAGAAGAATTCAGATCAGATCAGAAACATTCAGATCAGATCAGAAACATTCAGATCAGATCAGATCAGATCAGCAACATTCAGATCAGTTCAGCAACGTTCAGATCAGATCAGAAAGATTCAGATCAGATCAGAAAGATTCAGATCAGATCAGATCAGATCAGAAAAATTCAGATCAGATCAGATCAGATCAGAAAAATTCAGATCAGATCAGATCAGAACTTAAAAAATTCAGATCAGAAACATTCAGATCAGGTGAACGGAACAGCTTCTAAATAAAATGCTTATGAAAACACTAATGATATAAGATTAATTATACTTCAAAAATAATGATATGAAAAAGAAGCATATAAAACATAATGCACTATAATTAGTCAGAATCTAGATTATAAAAGCAAACACCTAAAAGTGTAGAAGAATAAAAATTGTGATAGAGTAAATTAGAATGAGCGCATAATTATATGGTAGAAATTGGACAAGTATAATTTCCTACCAATGTAACACTTCACTCGAACATAAAAAGTTATCATTCTTTAGAAACACCATATATATGTGTTTAAAAGGGAGTATTGTTTTATCTTAGTCAATATTTCAAATACGTTTAGGTAATTTGACTTTGGAATTTGAAAATTGTACTAAATCACTAAACAAGACTCAAAAAGTATTAAATGACATTGAAAGGAATAACTAAGACTCAAAAAGTATTAAAGTTTCATTGAAAGAAATAAATTTAATTACTCAATAAATTTTACCTCTCAAAAAATGGTTGCATCTGTTAAACAGAGACCGAACTTACTAGATCAGACCAAATCAGACTGAAACAGATCAGACCGGCAAATTATGGTCCAAAAGAAAACATCCTTAAAATCAAATGCACTCGGGGCAATTAAAAAAGTGGAAAAAAAGTACAATGATTTAATAAAAATGTACAACATCTTATATGCTCATAACAGATGTGACATAATTCAAAGGTACCAATTCACATTCACAATTCTAATGGTTTTATTAGATTACCCGCACATGTAGCTTAGTTGGTTTAGTGATGGGAAATTTGAAACAATGATCAAGGTTCGAAACCCGCAGCGGCCGTGTGGAGATTACAGCTCCAGTGTGCTGGACTGGACCTCTAGTGCGCACGGATATAAGACCTACCAGTCTACCACCATTGGGCCGACTGAGTCACCGTGACTTAGGGAGTGTTTGGAATTGATTCTGCTTTTCCTTCTTTTTTAAAGCAGAAACATGATAAGAATTAGTTTTCAGAAGCTAGTCTCCCCCAACTTCTAAAAACACTGATTCTCGGAGTAAATTCGACCACCAGAATCACTTCTGTGCTTTCACCCAACTTCTGAATCAACTTCTGTTTCTGTTCCCTGAAGGAGGAGAAACAGTTTTAAGAATGAGATCCAAACACCCCCTTACTCCTCATCCTTTTGTCAGGTCGAGGGGGGGCTCTCTGTGCTTGAATACATGGGTAAGACTGCGTACCTCCGACCCCCTTACCCCACATAGGTGGAGCCTTTGCGGCACTGTCTTAAATCAAAATGAAATGAAATAATCGGTCCTTTTCATAAATTATCTTTTCTCTCGGCCTCGGTTTAATCAGCAGCTCAAACTTGTAAGTTAATTTGACATTCTTCGATTATTTCCATTTTTCCCCCAAAAGAAAAAGACAGATTTTAAACCTCAGACATGTCCTTTCAAAAAATAACCCAGAGATGCTACCATTGCTACGTTTCTTTCCTTTCACACGAATCACACCCGGTTCAACTTTCAGACATTTGACCTCTGTTCTAAAAATCGTTCTAGACGTCTGACTAGTCCCTGCTTAGGCACTAGGCGGTGGCCGGGCACCTCGATTTTCGTCTAGGCGCTCCGATTAATTGATTTGCCGCCTAGATGAATTAGTCGGCCGCTTATGGCGTCTAGTTATTCGCCTAGAGCGCCTAATTGACCGCCTAGATTCGCCGAACATTAGCCATGAGTATAAAGAAATGAAGCTGTAAATTAAGATAAAACTATATATATTTGTCTATATACCTAAATTTTATCATAATTATATTTATAACATAATGAAGTTAAGTGATTAATTATCATATACCGTGTGTGATTAAATGTTATAATTCTATCATTCATATTTGGTAAAGTATATGTATTTACGTATTTTATACACACAAAAATATAATATTACTTATCATATTTATGCAAAAATATAGATACAAAAGAAATTTAAATATCTCCGACTAGTCCCTACTAAGTCCGACTAGCGCCTAGAGCCTTTTAGAATATTGTATTTGACCTTTTGTTTTACTAAGCAAAACCTTGGGCAGCAAGGGTTCGTTTGTTTAGCGGTTTTTCCTTCAATCGGGTTTTGTTTCTACATCGAGGTCAAAACATGTGATTTGTGGGAGTTCTGCTATTACAAACCATAGTTGGGCTTCAATGTAATTGATCTTAAGTTAGTATTAGTTTTGGAAATAAAGGTTCCTTTTATTATTAACTGTCAGCACTTTTGAGTAGAAGAAGGATTATTTTTTTGAGAAAAGAAGGAAATTATTTTAGCCAATATAGTTTTGCATTAAACACAGCAATTTCTAATTATATTATTATACTCCATTTTTAATTAAAGATTTAAAAAAGAGCTTACTAGAAGACATTATCAACAATCAAGAATTAAAGGTAAGTTCAGCTTGGAGACCAGTGAGATGGCTGGAACTGGAGTCCATCAACTCGGACGGACGTTACTCGTTGGCGCCTCAGTATTTGTAGGCGCTCTCTGTACTGTTGGATCAGTCGCTGGTTTCATTCTTCGCCGCAACTCTGTCCTCAAAAGAGTAAGCATGTTCTCTAAATCTCATTTCATATTCTGCAGTTTCTCCACAAGATCTTTTTCAGTTGTTGGCCTATGGAATTCCCAAATGGCTTTTGTTTATATCATTTCAATGTTCGTTTTACTGTATTCCTGTTGGGCACAAACCATAGGTGATCCCTTCTTAAGAAATTGCCCAAAATAGACTTAAAACATTGACAAAGTTCTTAAGAATGACTAATTATGTTTTGTTCCCATAATAAGGAACTTAAATATTCTTAATAAAAGAATAAAAACAGTAAAACTTCATGTTTTAGGAGTCAATGAGTCCTATTTTAGAAGAAATCAATGCTATTCCTGTTTGAGAAATGTGCTTATTTTACACATATGTCATGAAATTTGTGAAGATTTTATATACACTAGTAGAGCTAAACTAAAAAGAAAACAGCCAAAACTGAACTGCCAAAAGTAAATAGACTAAAACAGATCTAACCATAAGGGATTCATTTTACAGTTTAAGGTTTGGACTCTGAAAGCCGATCGAACCAGGTGAAACAGACTGAAATCAATTCCTATCCTACACAACCAACCATAATCAACTAAAATTATACTGTTCTTTTTTGGTTTTGTACTTTTCAAAACTAGACTTATAAAAAAACCTGCAATAAAAAGTATATCCAACTGGTGAAATAAATCTTCTCAATGGTGTGTTTTTATCAATTTTGTGTGTTTATGATTGTAGATGGGAATTATTGCACCTATCTCATTTTAGCAGCTTGACAAGTTACATTCTCCTTGTTTTTGAAATAATAAACTCAGATTTGATAAACGCGAGGGATATGCTAAAAATTTACATATAGAACTTCATTAAGCACTCAAAAAAAGAATTTAAAAATATCGGAAAATATTAGAGAAAATAAGATTACAAAATCTGATTTAACACATCCATATTAAACAAAGTAATACTAAATGATTCAAAACAAATAAAATGAAACGGAGAAAATATTGCTCACAGTATAACTGTTAGAATTTCAAGCTACAAGCCTATGACTGATTTATTCTGTGGGACAGTGGGAGGCAGTTTTTTTGCTAATCTTGTTGAATCTCTAAAATGGACAACCAGGAAAAACATGGAAAGCTTTGTGGGGTATGCAAAGGGAGTGGCTATTATAAGTGCAAGTTATGCAAATCAAAGGGTACAATAGAATGGTCACCACTGTATGATCCAGTGGTGATCAACCCATGTGTTTGTCCAACCTGTGAGGGAAACAAGTAAAATTATTTTTCGTTGCCCCTATATTTTTTTTTCTTAATTAATTTGAGATTAGTGGCTTTGGTGTCTGACATTTAAAAATGCCTAATTGTTATGTTTGCAGGGTTCAAAAATGTCTCAACTGCTTGGGGTTTGGCCTTGTGTAGCAAGCACTTTTAGGATACTAGGCACATTCCACCTTGAATTGCTCTATTTCTTTAGATGAATGTGTGTATGATGCCATATGTGTTATGGAAATGTCTTACATTAACATGAAAAGTTTTTTATAATAAATTAGTATCACATTTATTCTAGATTAAGAGATATAAAATTGTAATATTTGACTAAATTTAAAATAGTTATTATTAACTTTGTACTAACATTTAATATACTGTTTAATAATTTTACTTATTTCCCTCACAGGTTGGACTAACATTTATTACTAAACTACTTTGAAGTGTTTATTATAATGAAAAAAATATGACTGAATATCACAAATATTGATGAGAAAAACAGGACATGGAATTGGAGGAAATCCTAGAACCTCAGCCTGCACACACTTACACTTCATGCCATGATAGGACCACGTCCACAATGCAAATTCGGCCACCTCTTAAAAGGTATGAATATTGCAGTATTGATTGATTCAGGCAGCACACACAACTTTGTTCGTGAAGCATTTGGCCAAATAGGTTCCATGTCTACCACACCAAGGCATCCCTATATTTATCTTAGTCATAAATGGTGACCGTATTCCACTTGTGAGCAGCTATCGCAACTCGAATTCAAGGTGATGGGCAGGTCCTTTACAATCAAATTTTTTGTTATGTCGTTCTCGGGATTTGACATGATATTAGGGGTATTCAATGGCTACGTACTCTTGGATCCAACTAATTGGACTTCATCTGAAACTATGGCATTCCTCTGGCTAGGCTCCATAGTGGAATGGTGCGGTCAACAGGCAGTCCCATGTCCTTCCAATATGACACTCGCCAAGACAAAAGAATGAACTTTCGTGGATGTTCTATTACTACAATTTTGGGACCTTTTTCAGCTCCCAATTGGATTGCAACCAGTTAAGTCTTTGGCCACCACATTGCTCTCTTACCAGGTATAATAGGGTTTGTGGTAGTATGATCATATCGTACTTTCAAAAAGACGAGATAGAGCGGCAGTGCACCGAGATGCTTACCATGACTGTTCTTGAGGCTTTCATGAAAGCATGACAGCTCTTAATGATTTTATGGAGATTACCGAGAACTTAACTCCAAGATGGTTAAGGATAAATACCCAATTTTTGTAATTGACGAACTTTCGGTTGAATTGCATGGATTCAATTATTTTACAAATTTGGATCTTCACTTTGTTTGCAACCATATAAGCATTCCTGCCGAGGACATTGCAAAAACAACTTTCATAACACGCCATGAGCCCATGATCATTTTGAATTCCTTGTTATGACATTTGGATTGACCGATACTAGTCTCATATCGAGATCTTTCTGTCATTCCTCCATAAATTTGTCCTAGTATTATTTGAGGACATTCTTATTCACAACAAGATTGGTGGAGCTTGTACATCAATTTCTTAGCGGGGGAGTCACAAGTTTGCTATTTGGGACGTGTTATATGGTTATACCACCTAATGAGGGAGTTGAGGTTGACCATGAATGCATCTAATTAAAAAATTATGGAGTAACCCACACGGTCACACCCATATCACTCACAAAACTTCGAGGATTTCTTGAGCTGTTCGGGTAATATCGCAAGTTTATTTAGAATTATTGACAACTTCTTAAGAAACACAACTTTTTGTGGACAAAGAAAACTACTCGGGCCTTTATTAAATTAAAGAGTTGCCCCCCCCCCCCCCCCCCCCCCCCCGTGTCGGTCCTCCCCAACTCTTACTTCTAATTACTCCCCTAAATCAGCTGAGCTAGTATAACATTTATTCGTCCTTGAGTAGATAATCATAATAATTGAGTTAAACCTGATCAGTGCCATTGTGCCAAGGACAATAATATTTGAGTTCTAAATTTGTTTGACAGTTACAACATATGGGGCATTTTTTTGAATGTATATAACCAATCTATTAATTCAAACAATCATTCACCACTTGACTACAAATAGAATCATGAATAACATCGTACATAACTCTACACTGCGCCTGGGAAAGGGTAGCCTTGACCAGAATGTGGGCCACTCGAATTGCGGTTCGTTTACAATATTTGACCGAATAACTAGCTTCTGACAGAAGAATATGTCTAATATTCTCAATACTAAGATCACTATAGGAATCACCACCTCTTTCATAAATTCTTGAAGAAACAACTATTGCATCGCTCTCCATTTCCACCTATTTCCATCCTTGTCTCTTGCCCATGCTTCAACTTCCTTAACACCAATGTCCTCCGTCGTGGTTGGCAACGAGTTCGCCTCACGGACCTCCCCTCCTCCTCGAATGAACCGGCCATTCTTGTCTCTTACTAACCAATCCCAAGCTCGATTCATATGTTTTAATTCTTAAAACACCCGTTCTCAACTTGTCCCTCTTTGCTAATTCCCTTCCGTATCAAATTTGGATCTAGTGTCTATCTGAGCTGTTCTCCAACCCTGCTAAGTGCATCTTGTAATAACCTTGCTAAGTGCATCTTGTGTCAGTGTTTATTAAATAAGTGCCGCAAAACATTCATCATAACCTGCCAAAAACAATGCTTAATTTTTTATTGAATAAAAAGCCCCACATCCCCTCTCAGACGTAGAGAGATCTTCTCCCTAGCTTTCGCCTAGGGGTTGTCTTCCCCCTAGCTTTCGTCTAGGGCTTGCCTTTCCGGGGAATCATTTGGAGTGACAATGGAAGAGCGGTCGTTAGCACGTTCTGCCTTTTCATGGGCCTCTATGGTTGATGCCTCTGGACGTGCGGCTATGGATCAAAACTGGAGGTTTGTGATTGATACTTTCGATTGGAAAGTTGTCTGGTCAATTCCGCTCGACTTGACCATCGGAGGGAGGCGATTTGGGACTGTGATGGGCGCAGGGGACAAATTGATGGGGCGACAGGATTGGGTCTTGTTTGTATGAATTTCACCTCAGGGTGGAGGTGATTGGGGGTGATCGAGGGAGGCCATTTCTTGATCAAGTCCTGAGCAAGGGAGAAGAGAGATCGGCGGTCCACCCCCTTCTGAACCGCCGCCCTGGAGTGATCAAGGTGCTAGGGTTTGGAAGATGATACTTCCAGAATGCTAGCAAGAAGAAGCTTGGAATATTTATCAGTTATTTTATTTTTTATGATCTTACTATTGTGTTAAGTTTGTTTACGTTGCTCTGTTTGTTATTGATTTCTTTAGTTGTAGGTCTATAATAATGATTGACAATTCTGCTAGGTATTATGTCTGTAGAAAGATCTACATGATCAGTGATTGTTGTGTCATATCGTTTGGTGGTTAGCGATTAATATTGCTCTTCTAGGGATGATCGTTTCTAAATCTAGCCGTAGGATTGATAGTGCTAGTCGGTGCTAATGATATCAGTTTTTCCTTTAAAAAAAGCCCCACATCTTGGTCCAACCCACCCACTCATTTTCCATGGCTTGTCCCGAAATATGATGGTATTTCGCATGGTAAGAGGCGCTATTAATACTCTCTCCATATTTAAAAGTTTTCTACACTTCCATTTTTGGATTGTATTTAAAAGTTTCTCTACACTTTCATTTTTGATAAGTTTATCTTCAATAAAATACTCAACTACCCTTACTTTATCTACTTTTTATCATCTTTTCATACTTTTACTCATTCTCTCCTACTTTTTCTACACTATTCACTACCCCTACTACTTTACTCCTTAAATAATGTGTCCAACCTAATGTAGTGAACATTAAAATACAGAGAGAGTAATAAATTTAAATAAAATACTCAACTACCCTTACTTTATCTACTTTTTATCATCTTTTCATACTTTTACTCATTCTCTCCTACTTTTTCTACACTATTCACTACCCCTACTACTTTACTCCTTAAATAATGTGTCCAACCTAATGTAGTGAACATTAAAATACAGAGAGAGTAATAAATTTAAATTCTTTTCTATTATTTGAATGAGTAAATAACTAAAACTTACATTTTAATGAACTTTACTAAACCTTTTAAGAACTCAAATACATTTAGCAAAACGATGACCTTTTAAGTAACATAAAAAAAATATACTCCGTAATCATTTATTTTGTTTCTTAGTTTTTTATAATAAGGAAATCTGCAGTTCATCACTTCATAATTCATATGTAGACATGTAGTTTCAGTAGCGATTGTTAATATTAAAATTTGAAGTTTCATTAATTATGAGAGAAATAATATAGGACTTTCTTTATAAGTTTTTTTTGACAATATATACTTCAACAAAAAGAACTTCATTATTAACCCTCCAATCCAAGAAAGAATATAAGGTACTATCTTCCTGCCTGAAGAGTTAATTTGTCACTAATGTTTTTTGGTCTAAAATAATACCGTTAACTCTGACAAAGAATAAAGAAACATAGCATCGATATGATCAATACGTACTTTGCATCACATTCACATATAAGTGCTTAATTAATTCCCATAAAATGCGAATATGCTACAAAATATGGAGGGAGCATACAGCCGTCCAAATGTCCGATATATAGAGTGGAATCAACCGCCTTTGAAATTCTCATCTCTTAAGATGGATAGAACATCGTAATATAGTATTGCCATTATATCTTCTTTATGATATAGGTCAAAAAAATGCGTTTTAGACTATTAATTAAACCACATTCATATTTACGTGTATTGTGTTTCACAATTAAGGGCTTGAATGTTAGCTCATAGCCTCCGTCGATTGTATCAGCTTATTTCTTTCATATATAGACAAAATTGTCTTCTTTGTTGTGCAAAAAAATCAGAAATTTTTTATTTTACAGTTTGTGTTAGTGAAAACGGAATACTACCTTCATTCCATAAATTTTCTATGGGGTGTTTGAAACTGATTCTACCCCTGCTTCTTTTTTAAAGAAAAAGCAGAATTATAACCAATTTTCAAAAAATAGTCTCACCCACATTCTAAAAAAACTAATTCTATGAATAAATTAGGGCACTAGAACTCTAGAAGTACCTTTGCACTTCCACCCAAACACTCGAACTTCCAATTCTGCTCTCCCTGAATGAGCATAAGCAGTTTTACGAATCAGATCCAAACACCCCCTATATCATTTGATACATATGCGAGGGCGTAGCTCACCTGATAAGAAAGGAGTGTCACAAGGGATCGGAGGGGTCTCGTGTTCGACTCCAAACAATGACTTAGGATGGAACCCCACCCCCTTTCCATCAAAGTGAGATAAACTCAACTTACATCCTCCAAGATAACTGTCCGGTCAGTTCTGGAGGGCCTTCAGGAATGGAGTGTCAT